TTTCTCCTCCGTGATTTTGGCCAAAGGTTCGGCCTCCACCCACTTTGTGAAGTAATCGACCGCCACAATCAAGAATTTCCTTTGTCCAGTTCCCTGGGGCATGGGTCCCACCTGGTCGATACCGCATTGGGCAAATGGGATGGGGGTGCTCATCGTCGTCATTGCCTCGGCTGGTTGATGAATGAACGGGCCATGCTTCTGGCACTGCAAACACCTTCTTACCATTGTTTTCGCATCCTCCCTCATCGTCGAACAGAAATATCCTGCCATTAGAATTTTCGCCACCAGGGAGCCTGCTTTGCTGTGGTCACTACAGCATCCCTCATGGATTTACCTCAGCACATATCACCCTTCCTCTCTGGTCACACATCGCAAGTGCGGACCCGCATGTGATCTTTTGTACAAGATCCCACCGTGTTCAAAGAACCTCCTTATTACTTTAACCACTCCCTCTTTCAAATCTTTAATTATCGCGGCCCTCCAATCCTCGACCTCTTCTATCTCGGCTACCTCCTTCTCGACCATCTCGACCTCCTCGAGCATCCTCCTCATCATCATCGTCGCGATCACTCCTCTTCAACGACTCCTCGTGGCACCTCCTCTTCTCTTTTCCCCTCACCTTATCCTGGTAAACAAACTCCTTAAGGTGCCCTGCTCGAATAAGGATTTCGATTTCGTCTTTGAGGTGTCGACAAAATCCTCGGTGGATTGGCCATAATCTTTGTGGAATCGGCAATATCTCCTTGACTTAGGCTGAGTGGGCCCCTCGAACCTCGACCTGGGCCACGTCACATCTTTCCCATCGATCTCCTTCTCCATAGCCGCCAAAACCTCAGCCACTTTTGCGTTCAACAGGGTATAACAATGGAACCTCTTCCCTCCAGAGATAGGCCGATCCTTCCACCTGTTCTCACGCCCTCGATCCGACTTACGTTGCCCCTCCCTCCTAGGCAAACCTCTCCTTTTAGGCAAAACTGCCTTCGCCTTCTTGGCTCTGCACGACCCAATTCTTCCAACTTGGCAAACTCCGCCTCAGTCTCCTCGAGGTTAATATATTTTCTGCACCTTTTCAACACCTCGTCATAAGTACGAGCCGGGGTCTTGGCCAAAGAAGTCCGACATGGCCCCGCTCGTAAACTTCTAATCAGTCCTCCCTCCTTAACCTCATCGTTCGCCAACGGGATCTCTAAGCAAGCCTGGTTGTATCGGGCTACATATTTGCGCAGTGACTCCTTCTCGCCCTGCCTCATCGCCATCAGGGTTAAGTATGTCTTCTTCTGGGCCACAGCGCTCGAATATTAATTTATCGACTTCTCCGCAAAATCCCCAAAATTTGCAATCGAGCGTGGGGGGAGCTGCTGGAACCAATCAAGGGCTCCTCCCCTCAGGGTCGATAAGAATGCCCTGCAACTAACGGGGTTAGTATATCCATGCAACACATCCATATTCTCAAATGTCCTCACATGCCTCGACAGGTCAGAAGTCCCATCGAACACCAAGTTAGTATCCTTGAAACTAGCTGGTAAGGGTGTGGCTAGTATATCTATCGAGAACGGGTGTCCCCGAGTGCGTCTCTCCGTTCGACCATCCACCTTGGCCTGCAGTTGGCGCAGCTACTCAGCCATTCTTTCCATCTCTCGATCTTGCAGGGCTCCACCTACTCCGTAACTGGATTCATCTTCCTCTGCATTCTGGTGTGCCTCTGCCACAGTGGTCGGCACTGTGGTGGCTCGAGAAAGGCTATTTGTGACCTGCTGCACCGTCTGCGCAGCTGCATCCGCCACCATTTGCTGCATCTCTTGTCTGGTCATTACCACCTGCTGGGCAGGGCGTTTCTCTCCCACCTTTGGCGGCCCTCCGCCCTGCACCACCGGTCCCGTGGGTTGTGCTTCCCCTGGATTCAGCTGCGGCGGTGGAGGCATCGCCGTGAGTGCCGCGCGAGCTTCCTGGACGCGACTAGAGCCCACGTCTCCTCCGGGGATCGCCGATGACATAACCACACCTTGTGGGGTAGGAACGGGCGTGATCGGCGTTTGGGAAGGGCCTGAGAAACCCGGAGGAAGACCAAGCCCCATCGGCCTCTCCGTCGTCCACGCTTCGTCGAACGACTGCTGCAAATTAACCTTGGGAATTCCGTCCTCCATAGCTACATATCTCAGTAACTCACAACACCGCTTTTTGAACGAAGATCCCCACAGACAGCGCCAAATGGTAACACAAAACTCCTCAACCAGTTGGAACTCGAATAATCTCCTTCCTACTCGCCGGTTGAACGCCATGTACCTACAAAGAACTCTCACACCGGAGGGGTTTTCCGGTGAAGAGCCTCCGAAGCTTAAGTCAGTGTATATTCAATCAATTCTCAAGTGTGAGTAATAGAATGATCGTGTTGAACAAGAAAAGCTCACCCCATATATATGGGGGTGAGATACCTGCCCTTAGGGCTGCCCGGATTTGATGAGTTGTCTGCCCTAACTGCCTGTCTATACACACACAGTGTGCGTGTGTCAGAGGTAGCCGTCGCAACTATCTTCTGCACCAATACCTTTTCGACACGTGTCCTTCTGCACATGGAGTGAATTATTCTCTTGCGATTTGCTGACGTCCCACTGACACCTAGGGGTGAGCGTGGGTCGGTACGGTTCGGAGATTGATAAATCTCCAGAACCGTACCAAACTTCGGAGATCCTAAAATTCGATCTCTGGAACTGTACCAAAAATTCGGTTCGGTTCAGTTCGGAGATTTTTATTTTTCGGTTCAGTCCGGTTCGGTATTCGGGACAATTGGGACGGTTCGGTTCGGTATGATTTGGTTCGGATCTTCGGAGATTTTTTTTTAATTATTTTTTAATGACTACCTAGTTATATTTCAATTTTTATATGCTTTAAAAAAACAACATTCATCAATAATTCATCATATTGAAGATTTTATTTTGAAATCAATTCTAGAAGTAACTCTAAATTTTAGTTATTTAATTTTTATATGCTTTAATAAAACCAACATTCATCACTACTTCCTCACATAAAAATTTTATTTTGAAATCAACTTTATAAGTAACTCTAAATTTTAGTTATAACTAAAATTTGTGCAACTAATATTGAAAATTTAAAGTTCAAATAAAATATAATATTTTTTTCTTACAAAAATATTTTTAAAACTTTCCTATTATTTTAAATAATTATTTTATAATTTTTATAATAGAAAAAATTCAATTGTATATCATGTATTACTAAGAATGAAATTGAAATGAATGTTAATATTTATTACTATATTATATAGAATAAAAGTTGACATAAACTATATTAGTAACACATTTAATGCTATAATTCGGTTCTTAATTTCGGTTCTTCGGTTCGGTACAGTTCGGTACAGTACGGTACGGTTCAGTTCGGTTCTCGGTACGGATATTTGTGAAATCTCCAGAACCGTACCAATTATTTTTCGGTTCGGTTCGGTTCGGAGAAAGTCAAATGGTCAACGGTTATTTTTCGGTTCAGAGTGATTTCGGTTCGGTTTTCGGAACGGTTCAGAATTCTCCGAGTCCCATGCTCAGCCCTACTGACACCTCTGCAATTCTGTTAGAGGCTCATAGTATTTTGACCTTATCTAATTCAACGCCTTACACTCCATCCCCTTTGCTAAGTGTTCAACCATCGGGTCACTTCTATCTCTGGTGTCGACCACCTAGGCAATTCTCTGCTCGATCTCTCCTCTCGTCGATCGGATTCCACCTACCGTCTAAACTACTACTTTGTGCTAGTGCTCTCGCCCTTCTGTTATCAAGATAGTCTGACTGTGACAGTGCCCCTTCATATCCTGTTCGACCAACTCCATCCTGTTTATGTTCGGCTTTACTTAAACCGCTCATTGGACCGATTTGTCCATGAGGTATAATATCCCATATCAATATATATATATATATATATATATATATATATATATATATTACACACAATATTTTTTAAATAAATAAGCAATTAAACAATTAGGCATTTATTAGGAATAGGAATAATAATAATAATAATAATAATAATAATAATAATAATAATAATAATAATAATAATAATAATAATAATAATATCTAAAAAATCTAATAACCGAACGGAACATTATATTATCTTTAAGACAATATAATGTGATGCCTTTAATCGAGAAATAATCATAAATAGACCAAACTAAGTCAATACCATGAAATTTAATAAAATCCAAATAATAACATAAATTATATTATTTGAACGGGGCGCTACATTGGTATTGGAGAAACCACTCATAAATAACCTTCTCCATCTCTGGAAATTTTGTTGGTTTGTGATGTTTGACATTCCCTCGTTTTTCTATGTTAGCTGAAAGATACTCAGCCGATCTCTTGATAGAGTTGGATATTGTACCTTGACCAACTTTCAACAAATGATATTTTTCATCAAGCCTTGTTGTAAATCTGTTTGAGTGATTGTGAGGATCCCTCGTATACTCACATAATGCTTTTTGTATTTGATTGGTCATAATTGATTTTTGAACCCCTTTTAGATGCGACGTCATTGTTGTATAAGAAAACTACACCAAACAAATAAAACCCTAAAATATATTTATAGCTACTTAATGCTTGTTAACCAAAAAACTCGTTTCCTAATGTTTTTTTTTTACTCTTGTACCTATAAATTTCTTTCCAAATTTAATTAAGAATATTTCCTAACAAGTCTACTTGCTCACCAAGTACAAACTATACTTGCCAAAATTTATATTTTCTAAACTGTGAAATCACGCTTTAATTTAATAAATTATTAATTTATTGATTAATTAATATGTCTCTAAGTTAAAATTTTTAGGGTCCCATCATTATTAATTTATAGAGGTTATATGTTAAAAATTTTATCAATAAAATAAACATTGTTCCAATCGCCAATGGATTTAGCTATTGACCCGAATTACATTAGTTTGACCAGTCTTGCTCCATAGGTTATGAGCAGTCCAAACAGTTGACGGTGTGTAGAGAAATAATATGCAAGATCCGAACTCCAAGCACATGCTGAACAAAACGCCGCCGGCGATGCGGCCTTCCCACCACCGGAGGGCCCACTCCGAGATGAATTTCCGGATTCCGGAGGATCTGGATCTGATGCCCGACCCGTTCGATGCTCCGGCGGGAAGCTTCGAGGAGTTGGGATCCGAGGATGATCTCTTCTCTACTTACATGGACATGGAGAAGCTCGATAACGGCTCCGCTGGAGGATCCGGGATCGGAGATTCAGTCTTCGATAATGCGGCGGCGGGTGATGGGGGCACGAGCGGTCGCGGCAGTGTTGCTAGGCCGAGGCATAGGCATTGTAATTCGGTGGATAGTTCGAGCTTGTTATTTACTGAAAGTTCAAGTATTGAAGCTAAGAAAGCTATGGCGCCTGAGAAGCTTGCCGAGTTATGGAACCTTGATCCTAAACGCGCCAAAAGGTATTATATCTTTCATTTTTCTTGTTTGGAAATTTATGCGGCTTAATATATGTTATTGATTTAGATTAACGATGTGAAACTGTTTTCATATACAGTTTCTATGATTGTGGATTTGGATCTTCAAATGGGCTCTGTGAATCTTGTGTTTGTTCAAACAGGATGACTCGATACTTTACTATCTTATTTGCATTCTCACGGAAAGAGTGCAAAAAAGAGCCAAATTTTATTTATTATTTTTTGTTTATGTGTGTGTATGAAGATTGGATTTCTCAGTTGGAATATAAATTTAAATGTTTATATCTGATTTGATCTGGAGGATAATAACATCTAATCCGTGAGACAGACATAAAAACTCCTTACACTCTTTGGCATTCCCTGTTGATTGTCAGATTATTTTTTTGTTGGTTCATAATTGATGATTTGATGTTTGAAATCTCTCAGCTTGTTTGAGTGGCAAGGTTCCAATAAATTGTCCGCGTCTCAAGCTTATCTCTATTGTGCACAATGGTGTAATATGATGAGTCGGCTTTCATCCACCACTTTCCGAGATTTTGTAAATACGATAGATACCTTGTAGTACAATGACTATAAAGCTTCTGATGCTTTCATACCACTTACAAGGTGTAGTTAGGGAATTGTATGTTATCTTTATTCAACCAAATTGGACAAACCTCTTGATGAACAATCTCTCATGCATTTTGTCATTCATTTTGAATATGGTCTAATTTTAGCTTCAATTAAATGGCACGAAACTACGAATTTTGAACTATTCATGTACGTGTATGTTTGTATTTGTTTTGGAACGAAATAGATATTGGCACCTTTTACTGTAATCACTTTCTGATTGACTACTGTGTTCTTTTCAGGCAGTTTGATTCCGTCCCCCCCCCCAGCTTAATTTTTCGTAATTTTTTTTTTCTTTCTTTGATACATTTCTTGTGTACTTATTGCACAATTTTTTTGTTCTCAGGATATTAGCAAATCGGCAATCTGCTGCTAGATCGAAAGAGAGAAAAGCTCGTTACATATCAGAACTGGAGAGAAAAGTTCAGACCCTTCAAACGGAGGCAACAACTCTGTCTGCACAACTCACCTTGTTCCAGGTACTGTTTATTTGGTGAGGAAATTTTGATTTATCTCAATTGCCCTGAATATTTCCACCACAGTGTTAAAGTGTAAAATAATTTGTAGAGTTTGGGCTTAAACCTGATTTATGTCTCATTTGTTTAGCATTATAATTTGAATATTATTCAATTTGATCTTGAACGATTCAAATTAACCTTGAACATGTTATCTGATGCCTTTATTTCGTAATTGGGAACTGTCTTTTGCAGAGAGACACGACAGGGCTGAGTAATGAAAACACTGAGCTTAAGCTTCGGTTACAAGCCATGGAACAACAAGCCCACTTACGCGATGGTAAGTAAAAGCATCCAATAAAAACAAATGTTGTTGAGGAGTGTTCGCAAGACACATTACAGAATTCGTATCATCTTTTGGCCAAAAGGAAAATGACGGTTTTTGAGCGTTTTCAAATGTCAACATGAAGAACATATAAAACTTATTGGATGTTGATTTGCTAATAATTTGATACGCGGCTGCTACTTTCCGTTTGCTCTGCAAGTATATCGCTTCCTCTTATTGCAGAAGTTCCATGTTTATGTTGTGGTTAAATTACTTGTATTCTGTGTAGCAAGCATTCATAACGCTGCCTCCTTAAAACATGCAGCACTCAATGAAGCTCTGAAGCAGGAAGTTGAGAGGCTGAAGATGGCGACAGGTGAAGTATCAAACTCATCAGACACGTTGGAGCTGGCAATGCAACAAATCCCCTTCGGCCAGCCAACCTTCTTTTCACCCGTGTCTCAGTCAGGGGTTAACGAGTCTCGGAATGTACAAATGACACAGTTTCATAGTAGTCTCCAGGGTCAGGGGGGCTTGCTAAGTCATCATCACAATCATCATCATCATCAGTACCATCATCCCATGATTGCGGCAAATCACGTGCACCAGGACCCTCTTCCTTCGTTTCAGTGTCTCGATATCGGCACCCGGGGCCCCTCAATTTCTGCAACAGAAACCACCACTACATTCTGATTTATGAGCCTCCTCTCTTTTTTCTCTCCCTATTTGTTTTAATTGTTCATAGACTCAACTTAACAAAAGAAAAAA